TATCTATAAAATAAGTTTTGCAAAACTTTTTAAATAATTTATATCTTAACGTTTAAGATTAACAAATTCGATTAATGACTATAACTACAGTTCTTTTAAATATATATATATATATATATATATATATATATATATATATATATATATATAATATAAATAGTTTAGTTAAAATCAAGAAAATTATTAAGGAAGCTGATAATTTCAAAATCTTTAAATTTGCTTAAGATTAACTTTAATTACTAATTGTTAGACACTCTTACAGATTAATAGTAACAAAGGAATACATCGAATAAAAAAATAGGATATAAGAATATATAATTGTACAAATTACTTCATGCATTCTAATTATGAATTGATAGAAAATTACTAATTAAAATAGAACAGCAGTCAAATCGACACTAAATTATAAAATAAAAATATATATATAAACATTTTAGATGAATTAATTAACTTAGTCATTGTTGATTAATAAATACTGTAATGTATATATATATATTTATTTATTACTTACTTTAAAAAAAAAAAAAAAAAACTTAAATATTAATCGACTTAATAGGTTTATACACTAGGCACACATACAATAGTATTACAATTATACATGTACACACACTGAATTATGTAACCATATACGAATAATTAAAATGGACACATTTTAGGCCAATTACAAACACATCTCGATTGTTAAGAAAAATATATATATATTTCTTAAAAGAAGAACTTGAGATTTCGATTTTCAATTTTGTATTTCTTTAATATGGGAAATTATCGGGACGACAATTGTAATATTCCATGGTAGTTTGTAACAAATCAATAATCCATTAATTATAATTAAATTTAAAAAAAAGGAGAGAATCCCTATTATAAGAAATATGCAAACAAATCAACTGAATCATTTTCTGAAATGAGCTCGTATGTCAATTGTTACACCAACCAAAATACTCTGTAATGACATTCCTCCTTAAAATCAGAATAAGTTCAATAACTTATTGCTGCAAGGTTGTTAACCCTAAGGACACAAATATACAAAGATTAATAATGATTGCCAAATAATGAAGCAACAATTTTTGCAAATAATTTCGTTTGTCTTTGGCAATCATGGATTAATATACTATAGACTTGTTTAATTCAAAAGAAAGCAAAGTCAGCAAAAGCAATCCAAAGGGGTACTCCTTCGAAATATAGAAATAATAAATTATTTCAACACGGGACAACGATCCCTGAGGAATGTCAGAGTTGCAGATTTTCCCTCCAACAGAAATATAGTTTCTGGTATAAAAATTGACATCACAGTTCGTTCAGGACAGTATTAATCGGTCATTCATAATAAGAAGACGCGTTCGTAACTGTCCCTTAATTAGTTTCCTACACTAATTAAGGCAAGTTTTAACAACTCGGTTAATCGATAGTGGTGAAAAAGAATCAACACAAACGTAGAATTAACGCGAGTAAAATCACGGGCGTAAGAATTGTGTTTAAAATAATCGACATCTTAAGGGATCAAGCGAAGAATTATTGAAAATTACAATCGAGGTGATCAACACTAAACAATTAAACGAGGCCCATCTCTACGAATTGGAGGTGGTAGGATAAGTTTAGCGGTAAGCGAAAATATAATTATTGTAATGTTTACGCTTAAATTTTGAAAAGAAAAGGGAAAATAAATTTAAAACTTATAAGGGAAATAAATGCTTATTAATTAAAACAACCCATCCCGCAACCATTTTTAGTTAATCTTTTCTAAATTCTAAATTTTTAGTAAATTAAACGGGAAAGGATAAACCCTTGATTGGTTGTTGCAATTCGAAGAGGAAAACGTTAAAGAAACATAAAATTAAAGTAATTATTATTATTTTAAACAATTTTTCAGCTCAGGTGGTCCACTCAATGTGACATTACCTTAATATTATTTTAAGAAATTAAAAGTTCTTGAAACATGGTAACATAGAAGTGTGTTCAGGAATTGTATTTTATTTAATTTAAGTTTGAATCTGAACAGAAAAGTCGATTCTATCGCCGATCTGTCGATCGATATCTCGATAGTTTTCTATCGCTTCGAAGCGTCGCTTCGGTTTTTTGCTGCTTCGAAAAAAGTTGTTGGCTCGTATGGTCGAGATCGCTGCGCAGTGTCGTAAAATTTTGTCGTTTTATTCGCTTTTCAATTAACAATTTAATTGAAATGTAATTCTGTAATAAGGGCTATTTCGAGCTCATTTTGTGTCGTGTACGAATGTTTCGTTCGTACAATATCAAATTTTAGTATTTTCTCGTGAATGAAATGCTTTTGGGTGGAACTTCGTCCGCGTTTTTTCTAAATAAAGTTTTTATATTTTAATTTAAATTCTACACTGTTAATTTTAAAAGTTAATGTAAAGTATAATGACAATTTAATGAATAAAAAGTTAAGTGTTTATATATTAAAAGTGAATTTTGTGCAATCGTTCGTGTCGTTGTTGAACATTTTTGTCGTTTCGTTGATGTCGCTGTTCGTCGAAACGCGGCCATCATTATTTTCTACGTTCATGCGCGAAAAATTGTGCGCATACCTTTAAATGTTTACAAAATAGACAGCTGATTCACGAATTTCGAACATTTGATTTATATCATGAAATATTTTAGTGTTTATCGAAGTATATTGTGTTAGTGATAAAACTTTTTTAGAATTTCAATTTGCTTTAAATCACAGCCATGTTTCCGGCACAAGAAAAACCTACCATAAAACAGTTGATTGATCAACAGACACGAAACTTCACTACTTTAAAACGTCATTGTAATTCTGCAAAAGAAGCTGTCAGAACTACATCTGACATAACCTTAGGTGCATTAAACCATCGTTTGAGACTCATTTCACAAATCTGGGATTTGTCTGTTAATATTGAGGAGTAAATTCAGAAGTCGAAGATGGATGAGGATGATCCATATTTTATTGAAGGAAAATTTGAGACTGCAGAGGAAACATTTTTGAAGTTCAGTGATTACATTATGACGGATGTTGCTCGTATGGAAAGAGAGGTCAAAGCTTCGACGATTCAACAGCAATCAACGCCTTCAACTTCTACTACTTGCTATCAATCAACACCGCTTCCTAAAATCACAATTCCGAAATTCTCCGGTAAGTTGACAGATTGGGCAACATTTCGCGATTATTTTAATTCATTAATAATTAAAAATAATTCTCTTGATAATTTACAAAGGCTTCATTTTTTAAAATCCTTTCTGGAAGGTGAAGCTTCGTTATTGTTGAAAAACGTTTCGCTTACTGAAAACAGTTTCGAATCAGCATGGGATCGTTTGCGTAGTAGATATGAAAATCCTCGTGCTATAATTCATGCCGAATTAAAATCTTTGTTTTCAATAAAACCTATAAAAAGTGACTCCGTTGTATCCCTCAAAACTATTCGTAATATTGTTACGGAAAAATATCCGCGTTAGAAAATTTGAATCGATTTTCAGGTTTAACTGTCACTCCAAACAAGGAGCAACCATCTGATGGTGTTAGTGACATATTGGTTTATTATGTTTCTCAAATGTTAGATACAAATACTCGATTAGCCTGGAAATTAAAATTAGGAAATTCTATTGACTATCCGCATTTTTCTACGCTTTTAAATTTTTTAGATTCTCGCATAAGAGCAATGGAAGCTGTTGAAAAAGGCGATGAAAATAAAATAAAACCTGTCATTGTAAGATCTCATGTTGTTTCGAATGAAAATAGTTGCCCATTCTGTAACTCTGCGCATAAATTATTTAAGTGTAGTAATTTTCAGAAAAATTCAGTTGAAGAACGTTTTAAATTTGTAAAATCAAAAAATCTATGTTTGAATTGTCTTGCGAAGGGACATTCGTTGAAAAATTGTAAAAGTTCGTTCTCTTGTGCGATTTGTAAAGCGAAACATAATACCTTACTACATTTTAAACAAAATTTAAGTGTTAATAATAATAACAACAAATCATTGCAGGTTCAAACATCCAACTCCGAATTATGTCAATTCTCAGATGTCGCTGAAGTTGCTTTTTCAAATATGGCAGCACCGGGAGCGTTGGGTTCTCACCGTGTTCTTCTTGCAACTGCTCAAGTAATTGTATCGTCTAGTTCGGGTCGTTTAATAAAAGTACGCGCGCTATTGGATCAGGGATCGACTTGGACATTAATTACCGAAGAACTTGCTCACGCTTTAAATATCGTTCCGGATCGAGCTGACATTCGTTTGACGGGTATCAATAACGTTCAGGCTGGGTGTTCGCAAGGCATTGCTCCGGTGACAATTTGCTCATCGAAAAATAAAAATTTTCTCGTAAAATCTAACACTTTAAAAACAAATTACGAATTACGTTCCTTCGGCGGATATTGAAATTTTACAACAACCTCATTTGCAGGGTCTTGATTTTGCTGATGACGAATTGCTCAACGCGCAACCTATTTAAATTTTAATTGGGGCTGATTTGTATGGAATGATTATGCGAAATGGGCTTAAAAAAGGGGGAAATAAACAATTGGTAGCACAAAATACCATTTTTGGGTGGATTTTATCGAGAAATTTTGGTAGTAATAATAATTCAAACGAATTAAATTGTTTTAGAAAATCGGACTTTGCAGGTTTTTGTGCTTCAAACTCGGATATTGGCCAATCGCTCCAACGATTTTGGGAAATTGAAGAAATTCCTCGTGCTTCAAAAGTTACGTTATCAGAACAAGAATGTGAATTATATTTTGAAAATACCCACTCCCGCGAAGTGGACGGTCGATACAAGGTTAGATATCCTTTTAAATCAGGCACACCCATCGATATTGGTAATTCGCTTCAATATGCTGAAAAGGCGTTATTAAATCTAAGAAAAACATTAAGCAAGTCCCCGAAAATCATGTCCCAGTATACTGATTTTTTCGTCGATTATGAGAAAAAGGGTCGTATTGATATGATATTATTATATTGATTATTATATTATATTATTATTATTATATTATTATATTATATTGATTATTATATTGTATTGATATTGATATGAGTCGTATTGATGAAAAGCCGAAAGATCAGTCACAGGTAGTATATATACAACATCATCCGATCATTCGCGAATCAAGTTCGACAACAAAAGTTCGTGGCGTTTTTAATGCATCGAAAAAAACGTCCAATCTTACAAGCTTAAACGATCACATGCATATTGGGGAAAAATTGCAAGGTAACATTTTTAAAATCACTCTATTGTGGAGAACTTATCGTTTCGTATACGTTTCTGATATTGCCCAAATGTACAGGCAAATTTTGATTGATGAGAGAGATCGAGATTATCAGAGGATTTTGTGGTTTTCAACTTCATTATCAAATCCAATTCAATTTCGTTTGAACACTGTTACTTACGGAACCACTGCAGCCCCTTTTTTAGCTCTTCGTGTCCTGAAACAACTCGTTAAAGACGAGGGTGATTCGTTCCCATTGGCCTCATTCGTTTTAGAGCATCAAATTTATATCGATGATTGTATTTTTGGTGCTGACTCAAAAGAAAGAATCAAATAAATTAGAGACGAAGTAATTTCTCTTCTCGCGAAAGGAAAATTTCATTTAAGAAAATGGGCAAACCTTGTTTGAGGACATTGATTCATCTGATCACGGCCATGCCGTTGAAAAATCACTGATTGACGAAACATGTTTAAAAATTCTTGGGATCGTATGGGTACCTACTCTTGATGTTTATCGATTTAAAATTAATTTAATTGAAAATAGCAAAATTACGAAAAGATCGGTTTTATCATTGGTTGCTCGTCTTTATGATCCACTTGGGTGGGTTTCTCCAGTGATCATCATTGCTAAAATCTTAATTCAAAAAATGTGGTTAAAAGCATTGACTTGGGATGAGTCATTACCGCAAGATTTGTCTGAATTTTGGTTGTCGTATTATTCAGATCTTTCGAATTTAGAAAATTTATCGATTCCTAGATGGACAGGTCAGGGAGAAGAGGTGATTGAGTCATCGATTCATGGTTTTTCAGATGCCTCGAATACAGCATACGCAGCTGTTGTGTATCTTATATTGGTTTTTTAATCAGGAGGAATTCAAGTGAGTTTGCTTGCGAGCCGAACAAAAGTAGCTCCAACGAAAACTTTATCAGTCCCTCGTTTAGAGCTTTGTGGTGCACTTTTACTGTCCCAACTTGTATCATCAATAAAAAATGTTTCCTCATTCGAAAATTTGCCAACAGTATATTGGACTGACTCGACAATTGTTTTAGCCTGGTTGAGAAAACATTCTTCAACGTGGAAAACGTTTGTGGCGAATCGAGTCGCTGCAATTCAATCGATTGCTCCTGTCGAGTTATGGAAACATGTTAAATCGGAACAAAATCCAGCTGATATTGGATTACGTGGTGTTCGAACATCAGACCTAATAGAAAATCAACTCTGGTGGAAGGGTCCCACTTGGTTAAGTGGAGCAGAGGATTCTTGGCCAGTTGATCAAGAAATGCCTATTTTGGGAACAAATCTCGAGTCTCGAGATAAAGTCTGCCATGTTGGAATTGCTTCCAACACATGGTTCGATATATTAATGACAAAAGTTTCCTCTTGGCCAAAACTAATTCGAATTGTCTCGTATATTTCGAAATTTTTAGTTATTAGATTGAAATTTGTTATTCCTGGTTGTGAAACAGCAGAGAGTATTTCAATGGTTAGATTTTGTCGTGAGAGTCAAATAGTTTGTACTCGTTTGATTCAACTTCAAATGTTTCCTGTTGAAATATCAAAATTAAAAGGAAAAGAATTGTTACCAAATTCGAATTCGCTTATCTCGTTAAATCCGTTTTTAGATGACAGAGGCATTTTACGTGTTGGTGGGAGATTGTCAAACGCTCCTCTCGAATTCGAAAGACGTCACCCAGCAATTTTGAAAAAACATTCAGTTGTTGAAAAAATTGTTCGACATTATCACGAGAAATGTCTTCATGGATCAACGCAGCTTACATTAAATTTGGTTAGACAATCATTTTGGATTTTGCGTTCAAAACAAGTAATCAAGTCTGTTATTTACAAATGCGTCATTTGTGTTCGATTAAAGGCTAGCGTGGCTGAACAGTTAATGGGATCCTTACCTGTGAATCGAATTTTTCGCCCATCAAGGTCATTCGAACATGTGGGAGTCGATTACGCTGGTCCGATAAAATTAAAAATAAGTAAAGGTCATGGAAATACTTCGCATCCTGCATATATCGCAGTTTTTGTTTGTTTTGCGACTCGCGCAATACATTTAGAAATCGTGTACGATTATTCTTCGAAATCTTTTATCGCAACTCTCAAACGCTTCGTCGGTCGTCGAGGTTTACCGTCAGTGATATATAGCGACAACGGAACGAATTTTAAGGGAGCATATCTCGAATTAACTGAAAATTTTGAGTCGGTTATACGTTGTCGAGATGTTCAAGCATTTCTCATTAATGATCGAATTCGTTGGGAATTCATTCCACCTGCTGCGGCACACTTTGGCGGCATCTGGGAATCTGGTGTTCGAAGTGTGAAACAACATCTTCGACGAATTCTGCTGGATCGAACTCCGCATTATGAGGAGTTAAATACCTTATTGTGTCAAATCGAAATGTGTCTTAACTCAAGACTCTTGTGTCCTCTAAGTGACGATCCTTCAGATCTACGTGTATTAACGCCGGGACATTTTTTGATAGGAGGAGAGATTGTTGCTATACCTGAAAATTCTTTATTAGATTTAAAAGAATCTCGTCTTTCTCGTTGGCAGCTATGGCAGCAACTTCTCGAATCTTTTTGGAAAATTTGGTCACAAGACTATTTGTTATCGTTGCAGCAAAGAAATAAATGGAAACAAAAACTGGAAAATCTTTGCGTTAATCAAATGGTTCTTTTAAAACAAGAAAATCTACCGCCAACTAAGTGGCAAATTGGTCGAATTATTTCTGTCAAGAAGGGATCAGATAATCTTGTTCGAGTCGCAACTATTAAAACTGCTTCGGAAACTTATGTTCGCCTAATAACAAAGATAATTGTACTACCTGTAAAACATAAAGATTAATTGTTAATCGACATTCGCATAAAAATAATCGCTATCGAATTAAAACTAAAAAAAACAAAAACAAAAAAAAACAAATCTACTTCTTTTGTCAAGAATGATAGTTCAATTTCAAACCAAAATTTTGTATTAATATCTACGATTGTATTTCGATTTTGAACTTTAGAAAGTTCAATGGCGGCGGTATGTTCAGGAATTGTATTTTATTTAATTTAAGTTTGAATCTGAACAGAAAAGTCGATTCTATCGCCGATCTATCGATCGATGTCTCGATAGTTTTCTATCGCTTCGAAGCGTCGCTTCGGTATTTTGCTGCTTCGAAAAAAGTTTGTTAATGTAAAGTATAATGACAATTTAATGAATAAAAAGTTTAGTGTTTATATATTTAAAGTGAATTTTCGAATTTCTTTTAATGAACAATTATATTGAGTTCCATTGATACACTCATCAGTGCTTGGATTCCTGGATTTGTTGCGATGAGGGTTTCTCATCGCAATGTATAAACAAAGTGCTTCAAGTACAAGAAAAGATTAGATTAATTAATATTTCTTTGAAACAAAATAATTTGTAATTGAGTTGAAACAATTATTAACTTGTATTAATCTATATATTTTCTTAGCTCAAGACTATGGGTGTTAGATTAAGTAAAATCTTGTTTTAAAGGAATAAAAAAATGATTTAATTCAAGATCTTACACTCAATTGAATTGAATAAATAAAATATTTCATTCCAGAAAATATAACATTCTCGCAAGAAATTAATGTTTTTGAAACATGAGAATATAGAAATGCTTCAAGTAAAATAAATGCTTAGATTAATTAATATTTCTTTGAAACAAAATAATTTTTAATTGAGTTGAAACAATTATTAACTTATATTAATCTTCCCATTTTCTTGGCTCAAGACTGTGGGTGTTGGATGAAATAAATGGTTGCTTTAAAGGAAATAAAAAAATGATTTGACTTAAGATACCAAATGACTCAAGGTAAATTACTTGACGTGAGAACATAATATTCTTGATTCAATACTTTTTCGGGACTTGGCGCATGTAAAACAGTTCGTTTAAAACAGTAAGATATTTACTTATGTCAAACCCATATTTTCTTATTTTAATAACTTTGCCCAATGCTCAAAATTACTTGACACAAGAAAATAAATTTCTTCCAATAAGAAAATATGGGTTTGTTTCAAGTAAATTAGAACAAGGAAATGCATTTACTTGATTCAATGAACTTTTTTTTCCAGTGAACGAAAACTCAAAAAATACATTTTCCCTTGTCTTTACTAAAAAAGATATTTCAAAAATAATATTTGCCCATCTTTTAGTACTTTTGACCCATTTCCCCCTAAATTTTGCATTAAAACCAGCCAATATTGTAGGTTTTAACTTGTCCAAAATGTGAATCATCTTAAAATGCTATATGGGGCGTTCCATGGCTCTATGCACCGACGAAATTTTGGTTTTGCTTATACCCAAGCAGCACGGAATATAACCTTAAAATGAAGGGAATATTACATTTCATATTCGGAATATTCTAGTGGAATGTTCCAGGGATCCTAAAGTAATATTAAAATGTCCGCCCTACAGGAATATTCCAAAAATAACATTGAGGGAATGTTCCACGGTAATTTCGAAGTAATATTCCAGGATGATGTTGAGGCAGTGTTCCATCGTAATATTAATGGAATATTCCCAGAATATTCCCTGGAAATATTCCAAAATTTCATACTTTGAAAAAATTTGACTTTTTTTCTCTTTATCTTCTTTCTTTAGTAAAAACGAATTCAATGTTCGTTTTCAACATATTTAATATTATCTGGGAACATTCCCTAAATGTTATCTTGGAATATTCCTTTGCGGCGGACGTTTTAATATTACTTTAAGATCTCTGGAACATTCACTCAGTAGTGGATGGGACATCGAAAGAAAAACGTCGATGCTGTGAAACATCGACATCGAAAATTCATAACATCGATGTCATCGATGTATCAAGAAGAAAACATCGATGTTTCGATGTTTTTTTCACACTTCCTTTTGATTCATCAAAAAATATATTTATAAATTATAATTTATAATTTAATTTATAAATATATTATTATTATATATTATTATTTATTTTTTATTTATAATTATAATTTATAATTTAATTAATTCACAAAAAACAAATGTTGTTTATAAAATTAAATGCCTTAAACCTTTAATAACTTTTTAGGAAAGTTTCGGTGCTATGGGGAAATGCATAGGCACAAAAAAAAATAAAAGGTCAAAACCCAGAGGACACACCCTCATATCCCTATTTTTTTGGGCCATTGAAACTGAAAAATACCTTCAAAAATAAATTCGCCCTTCCCTTTATCCCCTAAAATGGGAAAATGTGCGATGAAAAAAATTTTCATGATTGTCATATTTGATTTCAGCGACCTCAAAATCAAAAATATGGGGGTATGTCCTCTAGGGTTTGACTTTTTTTGTGTGCCTGTGTTTATTTGTAATATTACCTTGAAACGAATATTTTATAGAAGTGTGCAAAAAGCCTGAAACCAAATCGGGTAATTTCGGGCTTTTCACTTTTCAGGTCGGGTCGGGCTTAGTCAATTCGGGTCGAGCTCTGGCCGGGTCAAGCTTGTTTACACACCCGAAATCTTTCGGGTACCCGACTGAATTCGGGTTCTCGAAATTTTCGGGTTCCCGACTGCATTCAAGTTCTTAATTTCGTAATAAAAAATTCGAGAAAATACAAAATTACAAATATTCGTCATCAAATTGTCGAAGATTCGCGTACTCAAATTCGTTTGTGTTTTCAGAATTTTTGGGTACCCGAATGCATTCGGGTTCTCGAAAATTTTGTTTACCCAAATTTTTAAAAAGACTGTTAAATTGACCACGGGAAAATTACATGGTAATTCTGATATAATATTACACCGTAATATTGAAATAATATTCAGGTCATTGGGATCTGAAATGACGTGAACGACCCATCGTTGTACCTGCACGCAAAAAAATAGTTCGATACAGTATACTATGTGTTGGATACCCCAGCTATTTTAGATAGTGTCTGGAGCGCGATCTATTTAGTTGGACAGGACAACCAATTTAATTGGATTCTTAGATGTTGGATGTACTATCCAATTCTGTTGGATAGGGGAGCCAATTTGTTTTGTGAACTGTCTATTTTTTTTGTTATCACTACTTTTAAGTTGGATAATGCAATTATTTTCTAATAGTGAAATAACCATTTATATTTTACATATTTAATTAAATTTACACATGAATATTAATAAAATTATTTGTTTATTTAATTTTACTAATTTAATTCTTATTGAATGTTTTAGATATAATTAAGATTTAAATATCATTAGTTATATCACTGAAAATTAATTCTCCTTATGATTTTTTTCTTTAAAATTAACAAACATAACCTAAAAAAATTTCCGCGTTAGGTATTCCTCATCGTGGAGCGGTTGTTCCTCATCACAAATAAATCAATTTATCAAAATCATATTCTCTTTAAGAGATAATAGTGTTTCATAATCTATAAGATTCTCTGTAAAAGCGAAGACAGAATTTCACAAACTTTGATTTCAATTTTGCTACTTTATTACTTGACACTTTCACTTTCACTTAATCACTTTCGTTTAACAATGTTATTAAATGTTCACAGTTTGTTAGCGCGATTATTTTCAAAAAATTTATCGTGTTTTCGTCCATTATAGTATTTTTGTCTTGACAGTTCACGTTCACGCACGAAATTGTCGGAATCGAGTCGCAACTTCTTGACAGCGCATGCGCATCATAGGAATCGGGACTTACAAATTTCAGTTGGCTGCCACATCCAACTCGTTGGAAACCGTATCCAACTAAATAGATATAATGACTAATCATAAGTATAAATTTAAAATTGTCACTGGAACCAACGCCGTTTGTTCATATATGATTTTACATAGATATAACAGCTAATTTCCTTCTATCCAATAAAAATTGGATCTATTATCCAACCTTTTTTTTGCGTGTGCTTTCGAAAAATATCTTGGTTTTTTATCTCTTTATGGAGCATATATAAGAAAGAGATAAAAAGCCAAGATACATACAAGCAGATACAACCCACACAGCATATGATATTTCCTAAATATTTCAGTGCAAGGTCCTTAAAATATTTCTACAAACAGGAAAATGTCCACCTGTGTGGAAATATTGACGCAAAAGTTTAAAAAATATTTCATTGAAATATTCCTGTAATATCACACATGAATATTCTGCAATATTGTGAAAATATTTCACAAAATTAAAAAATTTGTTAAACACATGAAACCAATAGGAATTTTGTGAAATATTCTAAAACCCATAGCCATAGGATTCTAGAAAGCCGAAAACTACTGCGCAGCTTTACAGGCCATAGAAACTGAGTTCGACCAGTGCGCATCATTTAAGTTGAAAATTTCCAAAATTTTCACACAGGCGAAAATTTCCTGTTTGCAGAAATATTTCAATTTTTTAGTGAAATATTTAGGAAATATCATGTGCTGTGGGGATTTTATTCAAAAAATAATTAATTATGGCTTTTGCATGAGAAAGAAATGACACAAGTATTATTTTCTCCTTTTCTAACCCATGCTTTAGGTTCGCGAAACAGATGTGTGTTGTCCTTTATGCTCGCTGCATGTTTGTACCAGGGTTGCACACGTAATATTGGGATCTGAAATCACGTGAAACGACCCATCGCTGTACCTGCTTTCGGAAACCATCTTGGTATTTTATCTCTTTCTAACATATGCACCAGAAAGAGATAAAAAATCAAGAAAGCTTCTAAAGCAGGTAATCACCATATGGCGTATCGTACCCAGTGTGCAAAGTTACAGAATAATTCTATAACTATTCCAGAACAAAAAGAACAAGTTCTGTAACTGGTGAGGAACAGGCAGGTCAAAATGTCGTCCCCCTGGAGGCACAAAATAGGAACCAAAGTCTGTAACAATTCTAGAACAAAACTAGAACATTGTTTTAA